TACAATATAGAAAGATCTTGGATATGACGAGGCTTTATGTGAAGATTTGCTAACAGAACTTTGTATTTACAAATTTCAAGAAAAACTATATAAGCAAACATTTCAAAAAGAAAGAGAATCACTACTAAAATGGTGGCTAGTATTGATGCACAAAAGAATACATTAATTGAGCTTGCTATTAAAATTTTTTCCATACCACCATCACAAGCTGTATGCAAGCATAATTTCTCAACCCTTAAGTAGATATTTAGGAATCAAAGAACAAGACTCAATATTACACACTTAGAAGCAATTGCGAAAATTCATGCATTTTATTATACCAATATTAAAAAAGAATTACATTTTTATAGTAGTGAATTGTTAGAATGTGACTTGAAAGACAGTGTAAATGGATCCACAATTAATGCAAGTCAATTAGAAATTATTGATCAAAACTTTAGTGAAGAATTCGAGCATATTTCTGAATCTTGCCAACTACAACTAGACAATATTGATGGTACAAATTTATCAATTGAGGAAGCTGTCGATGTTTCAAGTCTAGTATTTATTAGTAATAATGACTCATTTATTGAGGAGCAAAGTAAAGCATCAAGCAATAGTATGCAATGACTAGGTATAGGAAATACTAATTATGATTCTGCAGGCTTAATAGCTCAAATGCTTGAAAATGATTAATATAAATATTAAATATATCACTTTTAAATATGTATATACAATAGCATAGATTTCATTAATATAATATATAATATAGAGATAATAACAATTAATAGTTAGTGCTTTAAAGCATAATTATGATATATTGTACTGATAATTAATTATAGGCTTTGTCCTCTTTATTTTTTTTTTAAATTGTGAGAATCGTAAAAATCTTGTATGCATATATGTATATACATATGTGGGGGTACATACTAGTTACAACAAGTTATGGTACAAGTCAGGGTTTCAATAATTTACCTTTTTCGAACAAGCAGAAGTGGAGGTATCGATTCATAAGATCGATACACCTTTTATTTAATTAGCAGGTGACCTTACATCATAATTTGGTCACGCATGTTTAACTCTTTAATTGACTTTTAACTA